TTACTTCGTTTTTCCCACATGCATTATCTCGGTTTTGAACCGAAACTATGCATGTATGCATTACTTCGTTTTTCCCATATGCATTATTTCGGTTTTCTAACGAAGATATGCATATCGTCGATGTTTTTGCCCATCGACAAGTTGCAAAACCGCCTAAATCGACGTTGTGGCAAAAATGAGATTCGGTAACCCCGAACTCCAGTTATAGAGATTTATGCGTCAAAATCGTAAAGTCGATATTAAAATAACAGATTTGTAAAATAATAGGTAGATAAAATACCTCCTCTCAAGGCAATGCCTTGAAAGAAAAACCGGATTTTCGCTCTCCTGTAAAATTTGAGTGCCGTAAGATAGGCGGTTTTGCAAAAACATCGACGATATGAAAAATTTCGGTATTTTGTTATTTTTACGTTTCATTTCGATTTCGAACCGAAACTATGCATGTACGCTTTAATTCGGCCGCTCAGAGGAGGAAGTTGTCATAAATCTCCTTAATAAAAAGCTGTAAGGTAGTTTGCAATTAAAATTGTTTGCTATTACCAGGGGCTACATGTACATGTACAAAAATGTAAGTTCCAGTGTTGACAAAACATATGCTATCGAAAGTATAAAATCGACGCGTACATAGATACGTAAAAGTGATAGAGAAATGAATCTCTAATTACACAGGTCCACAAAAAAAATCGATGAAATGTTCCTTTGACCAAACCTAGTCTATGACATGTTTTTGCGGGGTCGAAAAAAATCTAGACATGATAGAGCAAAACGGACTTCAGATTCGTATTCAGCGACCCCATAAACATATAACAGACTAGGTTTGATCAAAGGAACGTTTCATAGATTTTTTTTGTGGACCTGTGTTATCAAGTGAAAAACTAGAGCTATATACAGAGGAAAAATTTCAAGAAAAAGTAAATAAAGTCTTCAAAGAAAATAAAACGCGAAGTTAATCAAGTGTTAGACACTTAATTTTAATTTTGGATTGTTATTTAAAGGCCATTTAACTTTCGTTAGGTATCAGATCAACTTTATTTAAATAAGCCAAACCAGTGGCGACACTATTGCTTGCTCCTTGAAATTGTTGTTCCATTTGTTTGTTTGCTTATATTTTGTACTGAACAGCTGATTGTTCTTTGGCAAGATTGATAAAACAACCCATCTAGCAACCTTAGTTCTTTGGTTAAAACACAGGGTTGCATATCTCATATAAAAATAGCCATTCACCTTGTTTATATGGCATCAAACACGGTATCGAATAAACTCGTGTCAATACGAATCAAAAATTGTTTCACAAAATCCTGGTTGATCTGTCAAGCAGTCACTTTACGCACCAATTTGCACCTTTTCACAAAGGGGGCGTTCCCATAAAAGCCTAGTAAGCTCACGAGTTTTACACAGTTTAAGACATTACGAGTTTAGGTGAATGCCCTAAGAGTTTTTTTGACTGGGCATTTGACAGCAAACCTTTTAGTTTGTAAAATGTCGCCAAAAGCTAGAAAAAATTTGAGAATCTGCATACAATAAAATGGTCGCCTCTAAACTTGTATTTTCCACCAAAATAAGAGATGTTGGTTCTCTGAAAAATTCTGAGGAATGAGAAAATACATAGCTGTTAAAAAACAAAAATTACAGTTGAAAGCAAGTGAGAGCTCGGAAACCGCTCGGTATGCGAGAAAAAGTATTCATCTTACTTTTTGTGGTCTGCATGCTTCGTCACGCGAGCGAGATTTGCAAGCATGTGAAGACGGGCTGTTAAGCATTGATAACACTCGATGTATTGAAGAATAAATATCGATTTTTTTCTGCATTCGATACATGGATGCAACACCCAAGGTAACTAAGGGTTTAGATCGGACAATTCTGACATGACAATAGCAATACATGCAAATTTATTCTCTAATACATGCATACTTTTCCATTGGAACAATTTTGACAACTAATACGTATATCTTCATTGTCTTGACAGCATTGTCCAATGTAAATGCGCCGTAATTGCCAGCGAAAATCGCGAGAAGCGCCAAAGTCGACATAATGCAAAGTATACACGCTCCAATTGCTTCACCAAAGGTTTGCAACGTTTACTCGGCCAATTGTTCGAGTGGAAGTGTGAAGTGGATGACAGGCGTTTTAACGCGATGTAAAAGTCACTGAGTAACTCTATTATTCTTCGCGCTGTAAACAATAGCGGGTAATGCTAAAGGTATGGGCAAATAGCTCTGTTATTGAAGAAAATAAACAAAGAAAAAGAGTTGGTTCAAAATAAAAATAAAAATTCTTAGAAAACGCTAAAATATTAAACATATCCCAAGCCCAGAAAATTTAAACGCTATCTTCGAGTCCGGTCTGTAGAAGATATATATATATACACAATTTCGATTTTTACCACTATGTATTTTCCTTAAATTTTGCGTTATAAAGGGGGTGCAAAAACATTTCTCTACTGCACAATTTGCTTTCTTTTGACATATCATATGATTACCTTAATTTACTTAAGAAGCCACATTTTTTCTATAGCTGAACGTTGACTTATGCCAAAATTAAGGAGCTGGAACCAATTTTTTACAAATACTATGGATGATTGATAAAAACCAAAACGAACTTTTTAAAACCATAAGGGAAATGTGAAAGCAGTTCTTTTTTTTAACAGAATGTATTTAAACGTTTCTATCTTACTAAAGTGCGATTTATAAAATGTCGCGAAGTGGCATTTTTGGAGAAATGGCAACACTGCGAACGAAGTTGTATGAACTACCTGTCGCAAATGTAAATTAAAAAAAAATGCCGCGCGTAACATTAGACAAGGCTGTCAAGACAATAAAGAAATACGAATTAGTTGTCAAAAACGCTGATAAGTGTCTCCGTGGTGTAGGCGTCATGACAATAGTTATGACAATTCATTTTGAGCAAAAGGCCGGACGTGACCGTCTCATATTATTTTGGAAATAATCAAGGCAGTGATTGAGACAATTGGAAGAGTATGCATGTATTAGTGAAAAAGTGTGCATGTATTGCTATTGTCATGACAGTATTGTCCGGTGCTAACCCTAAATAAGTGTAAAAGAATAATATA